CTATCACAAAATCTTCCTTTTGTTATTTCAAATGTTTTTAGTAATGTTATGTTTCATTGTTTTGGTTAGTGCTTTAACTTCCACCCATGGTACAAGCATTTTAATTTCGCATTTTCACCAATGTATCATTTGTTGATATGAACTTAATATATGTGTCATTCTTCTTATTTACAATATTTTTTTCCTCTTCTTATTTTTAGTATTTCTTAGAGTTACATAATAGATGCTAATGTTTATGTTTTTACTTTTATTATTTCTCTTAATGTCACATAATATATGCCAATGTTTCCTCTCTTTTTTATGTAGTCATAGTTATGAAAATATCTACAACTCAATTAGAGTAAAAATTATATATATCTAGACAACTAATATAGATACTACTAGATGCATTGTGTATTCAAAAAAACAAAAAGGACTACAATGCAATTTATACGTATCAAATGTATTGTACCTTGAATGCAAATTTAATTATTACGAGAGAGAAACCCAAAAAAGATATTTTGGTGATTTTGCAATACATTGGACTCCCTTTTGCACCATTATTTCTGTTTTGGAGCAATTGGAGCTGGTCTAAAGGGAATTTTTTTTTTTTCCAACGATAATTGAAGCTTTGTGTAATTTACCTAAATTTCATGGAAAGAGAAATAAAAATAAATAAATCAAGGAATGGCACGATTAAACTTTCTCACCACAGGCTTTTTTGAAGTAGAAACAGAAACTCCAGGTGACTCGCAGGAGGGAGACCTGCTAAGTGCTTTGTTGGACGAACCAAATGACCGGTGAGTACGATGCCTTGATCTTTGGGACTTTTGAAAATCATGAAATGCTGAGAAATTTTAATGCACAGATTAAACAAATTATTAGGCGGGACAAGGGGGAAAAGGCAGAACAAGAATAATAATGTCCCAGAATTAGATAAAGAAAAGGCAGAACAAGAATAATAATGTCCCAGAATTAGATAAAGAGCAGTGCCATACTGCCACGTGTACATTGGCTTTTTACAATGAAAATTACAATCAGTCTTTTTTATTTTTTTTTTCAAACGACAAACAACAACTTCATAAATACTCAAATGAAAGTATCCCGAAACCAAATGGTTACAGCCCTTACAACCTGCAAATGCAGGAAAATAACAGCACGAGCAAGGTGAAACCGAGCCCTCATAGGCAACAAGCCATAACAAACTAAATACACAATCCTAATAACTAGTACCAACATAAACATTACACAATTTAATCAAATCCCTAATACCCAGCAGAATTGGATTCTAATAAATAGTACCAACATAAACATTACAATCACAGTCAATCACGATAAATTGTTAAAATTATCATAAATTGTTAATTTTGTTCTACATTCACCAAATATGCGATTTCATCACTATTCTACCATCCTTCATATGAAGTATTTGGACGAAAAAAAAAAATTATAATCCCCAAAATTTATCAAACAGTATTAGCAAGAAAACGAGATTATTGTACAATTTTGGAGTATAATAGTATTAACTTCCATAACTATGAATTTTGACAAGTTATCCATGTTTATAAGTGAATTTTGGTGATTAGAATTTTGAATTTACTTTTGAATTGTTCAATTTTGGAGTATAATTACTTAGAAAATTTTTGCATAAAAATAAATAAATAAATTACACTATTTACCAATAAATTCTATTTTAATATATTTACGAAGTTCATTTTTTAAATTGAAAATTTACTAATTTTTATAGTTTATGAATGATTGATATGAGGTTTAACTTTGTTATTGGTGTCTACATTACATGTTTTTTAGTTTATGACAAATTTATGAATGGTTTGTATGTTTTATTTTGAATGTCGTATTTTTGCAAAAGTTTTAAAAGTGTAGTAGAAATATAAAAGAGAAAAAAAAAAGATGATTAATTTCAAAATTTTACTGACATGTAGATGCATGGATCGGTTATGTAAGAGCATCTCCAATGCTCAACTTTCAACATTAATTAAATTTGAACACATGTCAATCAATAGATTAATGTTTAATCTACATGAACTGAATGTTAAAAGAATAAGACTTTCATTTGAATTGTTGCCTCCAATGCATCCATTCAACAACCATACAATTTGTATATGTGGATTTATTCAATTATTAATAAAATCAAAGAGTATATTAGAAAAAAACCACAAATTCCAATAATTATATGCATGATGTTATTTTTTGTTGATTCAGTTAATTTTTATTTATATCATCAAGTTTATAAAATTATTATTTATTCAATAATTTCTCAGTTACAATATGTATAACCACACAATAAATATTTTTTTAATTAGTTCAAAATAAAACAACAAAATATTAAAATTGCAATAACTCAACAAACAAATATCATTAACATAATATTTTACTTTTAAGGACATTATTATTGATAAATTTTTTAAATTTTAGTTGTAACTCATCAAATAATTATACTGTATTCAAATAAATTCTCAAATGTTTTAT